TATGTGGGATTGGATGCATTGCTACTTCGTGGGAGGGGTTGCAGTTGTTGAGGTAGATTCATTCTTGGACCGAGCTGGAAAATATCATTTGGGACATGCAGCTTTCCATGAGTATTTGCAACACTGGAAATGGCCATCGGCGTATGCTTCGGGGAAAAACTTATGCCGCAGCGGACACGCAGGAACGTCCGCGTCCGAATACATAAGCGCAGCTCCCGTTCTCGAAAAGTACGTGACCGATGTTGTATGCAAAAGAAACGTGTTGCTTCCAGAGTGCCTGAGCATAACTAAGTTGTGCAATGTTTTGAATGCGTTATCTGTTGTGAATTCGGGAGAAGTTTCGCCTGCGTATTTGAAGCAAGTGATTTCGGAACATTTGCAGGCCCAGCAGGCTGCGTACGACCTGACCCTCCAACTTCCCAAATCCCACTGGGTCCTCCACCTCCCCCAACACTTAGAGGACCACGGGGTCCTCCTTTCCACTTTTTTGATGGAGAGAAAACATCGGACGCCAAAGCGCCTGGGCACCGATAGATTTAACACACGGAGCTACGAGAAAGGACTCATGGAGTCCATCACTGTCCAGGCTCTCTACGATCTGGAAGCCCCCGTAGGTGGTGTAGATTTGCTGGTCCCCCGAACCCCTGGCAAGAAGTTTTTGGAGGCACTGTCGAAGTTAGTGTTTGTGCCACCTGGCGCTGTTGTGCTCACGTCTAAAGGCGTTGTTGTGCATAACAGGGTTGTGCAGTTGAATGATAGAATCTGTTTTCAGGACTGTGGGGCAGTCCATTTTGGTCACGTGCATTTTCATGCGAAGGTGGGGAACGCCTGCATGACGTGCATTTCCGAGTGGCCACTAACTGAGCGCACGCATTGTTTAGTGAAGTGCAGGGTTGAGGAAAATCAGAGGATGATAATGTCCTCTGAGATTTTGGAGCCGTGCACTGCGATGCTGGCAGGGCCTGGGGAGATCTGCCAGATTCTTCTGCCACCAAGGTTTCGAGTGGCCTCAGCGTCGTGATGATGCACGAGAGGGGGGCGGAGGATGAGGAGGGAGGAGGAGGGAAGGAGGGAAAGGGAGGAAGAGAGGGAGGACGAGGAAATGGAATGGAAGAGGGAAGGAGGAGGAGGAGGGAAGCTGAGGGAAGAGGGATAGACGAGAGAGAGACAGAGAGTACGACACGACAGCGGCCTGTTTGCGCATGCGTTCGTGCTGACACAGGCGGGGCAGGAAAAAAACGTCATCGTTAGATTTCTATTTCACCACGCTGGGTTGGAACGAACTCGCAATCAGATTTGCATTCACCTCGACCCCAACTTCGCTTTTCTGGAGGGCGGTCGGTTTTCCCCAGGGGCCCCTCTCTTCTCCCACCCCTCCTTGCTCTACTCCTCCTCCCCTGCTCCTGTGGTCGCCTATCCAGGTTAGCCAAGATAGCTAAGTAGCTTAGCGTCCCCTCCAACTCAGCTTGGCGAACCTCGAAGCTAAGCTGTTGGCTAAGCTGTTGCTAAGCCGTTATAGCCAGCGCAGATGCTTAGCAAGCGCGGCGGCGATCCCAGTATATATATATATATATATATATATATTCCTCTTCCTATATTTCTATAAGCCCGGGCGGGGGGAAAACCCGTCCCCCCCCCCCCCCTAAAACCGGACCCCCGGGATCTGGAGCTTTGGGACCCTCCGGACGGGCCTCGAAGCGGCCCCTGGACCTCGCAGGGCGTTTTGCCAAGCCTTCGCAGCACACCCAGGGCGATCAGGGAGGTCACCGGAGACGTCCCAAAGACCCCCAAGACAGCACAAGAGCGCTCCAAGAAGCCGTCATACCCCGAAAGATCGCTCCAAAACGTACCAAGAGGCCTCCAAGAGCACCCCCAAGAAGGCCCCCAAAGGGAAAAATCATTGATTATATGTATGTATGTATATATATATATATATATATATATATATAGGTTTTTGGTGCATTTGGGGTTCTCCTCTTTTCGGCTTCCCGATGCTCCAAGACGGCGGTCTCCTAGGCGTCCGAAGCCGCCTGGGATGCTCCAAAATCGCCCCACAACCATCCGAAAGGGCTTCCAGGCAGTCCAAGAGAGCCCCAAAACGGCACAACAGGAGTCCAAAATGGCCCTAAGAGAGCACCATGGCGGCCCAAGATGGCCCCAAGACACCCTCCGAAGCATTCCAAATCGTGACTGGGGCGTTCAGGGAGACCGCGGTTAGAGGCAGGTTGGCCTTAGGAAACCCCATGGCCCCCAGAACACACCCAGGAGGCCTCCAAAAGGCTTTAAAAAAGCCTGAGAACTTTGGTGAAGCCCCCAGAGGCTCTCCAAGGAGGAGCCTCCGCAAAAAGAGCTGAGGAGGATGGGGAGAACGCCCAGGGTATGGCGAGAATGAGGAAAACATAAGCATGGAGGAAGGATAACGAACAACATTATTATAACGGCGATGCCAGAAAAGACAGCAATGAGTTATCGCTAGATTGTCAGCTTGACCTTCCTGCCATTTCCGCCTGCATACCAAATTTCAAGGACCAAGGTGCATGGCGCGAAGCGCCACTACTGCAGTCTTGTGTGTATATATGTGTATATGTGTATATATATATATATATATATATATATAAGAGCGCGCCCACAGGGCCCGAGCAAAGGGGAGGGGGGGCTAGGCTTAAACTACCCCCCCCCTCCCTTGAGCCGCCCTTGTTGGAAGCACCCCCCCCCCTCCCTCAGTTTTTTTGCGGGGGAGGGGGGGGGAGGGGGCTTGCAGCTACCCCCCCCTCCCCCCTTTGGGCCCTCCCGGAAGCTACCCCCCCCTTTCCAAATTTAGGGGGGGGATGCTTAAGCTACCCCCCCCCCTCCCTTGGCGCCGCCCTGCTGGAAGATACCCCCCCCCTTTTCGTGCAACGGGGGGGGCCTGCTTGGAAGCTGCCCCCCCCCTTTGGCCGCCCCGGAAGCTACCCCCCCCCTACCCCCTTTCCAAAGGAAGGGGGTGCTTAAGCCCCCTCCCCCCTCCCTTGGAGCCGCCCCGCTGGAAGCCCCCCCCCCCCTCTTTGTGCCAGAGGGGGGGGGGGGTTGGAAGCCCCCCCCCCCCCCCCCCCCCCCCCCTTCCCCCTTTGGCCGCCCAGCCCCCGGAGCCTCCGCCCTCCCTTTCGCCGACGATCCAAAATGAACAATCCACGATCGAGGATGGACGATCGACGATCAACGATCGACGATCGAAAATCCAATCGAATCGCTTGCAATCGATTGCACTCCATTCCACTGCAATCCCCCTCCCCACCTCCCTCCGCTCCCTCCCCTCCCTCCCCACCCTTCGTTCCATCTCCTCCCTCCCCTCCCTCTCCTCCCCTCCCTCCCTTCCGTCCTGTCCCTCCCCTGCAATCCAATCGATTGAATCGATTGCAATTCAACCGATTGCAATCCAATCGATTGCAATCCAATGGATTGCAATCGAATCGGTTGCAATCCAATGGATTGCAATCGATTGCAACGCAACTGTATCATTCAACTCGTCCCGTGCCAACGCCCAGGAAAGAAAAACAGACTATTATGCTATACTCGTGTCATGGGCAAGTCAGGAATCCACAATATACAATCCTGGAGGAACACAAAAATACAATTCTACTCTACTCCTCCCTTTGCGACGCCCTCCCCTCGCTCCTCTTCCTACCCTCCGCACCCTCCGCCGCCTCCATATCCTCTCCTCCTTCCCCTCCCTCACCTCCCTCCCCTCTATCCCCTCCCTCCCCTCACTCCGCCCCCTCCGCTCCCTCCGCCCTCTCCCCTCCATCCCCTCCCTCCTCTCTGTCCCCTCCCTCCCCATCCATCCTCTCACTCCCCTCCCTCCCCATCCATCCCCCCCCTCCCTCCTGTCCCCCCCTGCATTCCAATCGATTGTAATCAAATCGATTGCAATTCAACCGTCCACAATGATAACTCAAAAATCGACCAACACTGAAACACACACCAAACCTACCAAACTTCAGCGAACGTCAAACGTCAACAAAAACCTAGAAACAACTCAAACGTTTTCAAAAAAAAGAACAAGAAACATACAAAATTCAAGCATCAACGAAACTCAACAAGAATATACCGAACAACAATGCACAAACACCAATTAAAAGGTTTCAGACAGCAAGCGTCAACAGAATCCCCCCCCTCAAAAAAATAAAGAAAAAACCAAAAATACGTCGACATGCGTCAACAAAAAAGGCCATCGAAGGCCGACACCCTTTGGAAGCTTCTCGGAACGTTCCTCAGACTCGCACTTCCTCCTCATCTCCCGACCTCCTCCTTCCCCCTCCTCCTCGCTCCTCCGCCCTCCTCCACAATCCCACCAGCCCTGTAAGGCGTGAGTGGTTTAGCTCGCCCATATTCCCTTCTTCCAACCCCCTTTTTCCCCTTGGGGGGGGGTCACCACTGCCCCCTATTAATAAACACCCCCCCCGGCGACTGGGGGCCAACCCGAGTCCATGACGACCCCCCCCCCACCATCCTTTGTAAAAAAAACAACGCAAACACACACACACACACACACACACACACTCTGCCTCCAAATTCGGAACATGCGCAGCCAGCCCGATGCGGCCCCCCCCACCATCCCTGTCAAAAAAAAACAATACAGAGTACACTTGGCGGCGGCGGCGGCTGCGGCGACAGCGGCGGCGGCGGCGGCGGCTGCGGCGGCTGCGGCGGCGGCGGCGGCGGCGGCGGTTTGGCAGCGGGGGGCGGCGGCGGCGGCGGCGGCGGCGGCGGCGGCGCGCGGCGGCGGCTGGGAGGCGGCGGCGGCGGTGGCAGCGGCGGCGGCGGCGGCGGAGGCGGCGGCGGCGGATTGGCCCCCAGTAGCTGCCCATCCCAAGACGACTGCTGAAGATGCTGAGGCTCGGGCCAGACTCGGGCGCCACGTATGTGTTGGGAGGGCGGGTGGGGGTGAGCGAGCCGGCCTGCGGGCGGGGAGGGGGTAACTTGACCCCTCCCCCTACCCCCCGCCCTGGACCTGGAGGAAGACCCTGAGGTTGTATCCGAGCGGGTCAGGGCTGTGCGGCTGCAGCCAGCGATGCGATACGCACACGATACGCAATACCGCAGTGCGAAGAGGAATGGACCTTTTTTGTGATGACTGCCCGATCGTCTCCGGAACTTGATGAGTGGCCGCCCTCACTCTGCTATGGGACGCGAAAGCGGCAGGCGGCAGTGTCTGGCGCGGTTTAAGGGTGCCCCCCGAGCCTGCCAGCTGAATGAACCACCCCGCGTCCAGCAGAAGAAGGGCACCAATCGCAAGCACTGGTTCGAGCTCGAGGTCTCCGCGTTCGACCCACAGCCGCTGCCTCTCTTCAGGCACCTCCACCTCCAGCAGCTGGGGCAGATGTGGCAGGCCCTCGTTGAGAACCGCCACCTGTTCGACGACATGCGCGGGCCCTTCGGAACACTGGCACTGGCACGCAACGCTGAGCATCTGCTGGAGCCCGCGACCTCACCGCGAATGTGTACTTGAAATCGCACGGGAGGGCAAAAGGAAAGCTGCTCCCCACTTGAGCCAAACGTGATTGCGCATGCCAAAAGTATATTCCTTTCCGGGCTCCCTGGGGCATCCTTGGGCGTCCAAGTTCCTGAGCGTCTCCAAAACAAGCGTTTCGCACGACACATCCTCCACAAATTCTGCAAAACGAGCGTTTCGCTCGAGACACCCGCAACAAACGAAAATACGTACTTGACCCTATGCTTTACCGATCAAGACTTCAAAAACTATCGCTTCGCCATGGAATTTCTGAATTTGTTGATTCGCCGGCCCTACGCGACCTCGTTATTTTTGGCCGAATGAATTCGCCAGCCCTACACAAGTGGAAACCGGGGGTAAACAAACTAAAGAGAACCTGGAACCGTGGACGCAGCATGGGCAGCGATCGTCCCATGATCCACACACGAAGCCAGAACGGAATCCGCCGACCCTGTCGGCGTGTGGAAGAGGCTGTTCCGTTTGACTCGTCGTCGTCGCCGTCGTCGTCGTCGTCGTCGTCGTCGTGGTCGTTGTCGTCGTCGTCGTCGTCGTCGTCGTCGTCGTCGCCTTCGCCGCGCGCTTCCCCCCTTTTCCCTAGGCCCGTCGCCGTTCCCCACTTTCACCGCGTTCTCCTTTTCGAACGCGCCAGCCACAGCGAAATTGAGCAACATTGTAGTTGAGTCGAAGGGAAGCCCCTTCCATTTGATCCCTTCCCCGCTGGAGGGGGGGGGAATCCCGGGGTGAGGTCCAGGGGGGGGTCCTGGGGGGTCCCGGGGGAGGGTCCCGGGGCAGATACGACTCCCCCTCGGGCGGTTGGGCGGCCAAGAAAAGCCGCAGGACGCGGCAAAACTGCCCCAAGATGCCCCCAAGACGGTCCTCGAGGGCCCCGAATCGCCGAAGTACCGGTCCAAGTCGCCAAAGTAGCCTCCAGAGGACTCAAAAGGTTTCCAAAATGCCCCAAGAGGTCTCCAAGAGCACTTCTAAGAGGGTGCATTCTCGCTTTGTCAGCTTTCCGACGCTCCAAGACAGGCCCAGAAGCCCCGATTTTTTTTTTTAACTGGAGGAGCGCGAAAGCGCGGAGAGAGGTGCAGGCGCCAACCAGCTCGACACTGTGCAATCGAGCGAGCGGCGGCGGGGCAGCAGCAGTGCGCTGCCGACGCTGAATACGGTGCTGGGGCCTGGTGTGGCATTGCACATTGGGCCGCAGCAGCACCGAGAGGGGGGTTGAGCCACGGCCGGGGCGGACTGGCAACCTGAGTCCACCCCCGTGCTCAAGGGCCCCCGTGAGATCCCTCCTGGTTGACGGTACCCCAAGGCTCGGGTACAAGGCTGGCTGCGTAACCAGCACCGTCGAGACAGGAGGGAGAAAGAAGTGCGCGGCGTTCCTTCCCCCTGAGGCGGGGTGCCTGACGCGCGTGCAGGGCACACACGCACGCGCACACATGCAGCACACATGTCTCGACAGGCTGGCGGTACCCCAAGGCTCGGGCACAGTCGGAGCGAGAAACAAAACCCCAGATCGAACCTGCAAGGCTCGGTTGACCCCGAGGCCAACGCAAAGTGGCAGGAGTTGCCACCAAGAAACTAGGATGCCAAAATCGACCACCCACACAAGGGAGACGAGACCTGCCGCCCCAGTTGCAGAGAGCGCCAGGACGACGGCAGGCCTCGCCCCAGATGTGGGGTATGCACACGGATGCCTGCCCTGAGGATCAGTCGCATCGGGCCGTGCGCCATTGGCAGGAACAAAAACAAAAGGCCACGCTTTGATCAAAGAGCTTGGCCAAGCCTAAAGAGATCGTCTAGTAGAAACAACCGTTCTGCACTGCTTTGTTTTTTGTCAGCGATCCCCTGGGGGCCTGAACGGTTTTGAAACAGCACGTCGGCCACAATGGCCGAAGACCAGCTCACCCGCTGAGCACGTCTGGCGCACAGCCCAGCAGATGAGGGACAGCGGGCGGGACAGGGGACAGATGAGGCCCCAGATTTAGCCACCCGCCATCCATAAAATCTGGTCACGGTGCGTCGCCCAAAGGTGCGGCAACGGGCCGTGCCACCGCCGACGCTTCACGGGCTTGAATGCGTGCCAGGAGCGCCGCCATACCTGCCGTCTCTATCAGCCCTGACGGCGAGAGCGGCAGGCTGACATCTGGCGGCGGTGGCCTCTGAGACTCGTAGCAAAAGAAAGCCACGCCTCGCCTCGAGGATTCGCTCACCGTGCTATTGTCACGATAGTGAGGATAGAGGCCAGCAGAGATCCTCCTCAGCACGGTAGTGCCACCCGCCAGTCGGCGCTGAAGGCACTCCTTGCCGAGCATATGACAGCGCGCAGAGGAGTACGCTCCGCACATGGAGCAAAAGAAGAGGGTGAGCCTCCGCTCACCTTTGCTTACACTGCAATGCGCCAACGAGTGCCCCAAGGACCGATCCAGGACACCACGCCACAGCCTGCTGGGCCCTTTACATCCCAACATGGGGCGCGCATCCCGATCAGTGGACAAACAAAGGCAATGCAAACATCTGGCGCAGCCCTGACCTATTTCCTGCCAGGAATGCCAACCTCCCCATTTTTTAAATAAATATATATATATATATATACATAAAAACTTAGCCCACCGCCCCAAGGACCGACGCTCAAACTTTTCGGGAGGAAAGGTGGCAAGCACGGTGCCCGCCACCCTAGCAGCGAAAGCCAACAACTCACACTTCCTGTCCACTTCCGTACGTTCGTGCACACTGGGTTGGGGATGGAGGAGGAGAGCTTGCTTGGCAAGGGCGTCGGCTTTCAAGTTGCCTATACCAATCCGTTTCTCGTGCGCTGGCAGAGCATCCAGAACAGCGCGCGCGCGGTGCGCAGGTGCGTGGTGCACCGACGGGATGGGGAACCTCTCATGGAGCAGGGCACCTCTCCGAAGACCAGCATAACGATGTTTATGAAAAACCTGGTACCCCCGCGTCGCCACACAGATGCGCACCACATTCATGCAATCGGCGTGGCGGTCTCCGCCGCTGCTCTGAAACATCGGGAGGAGGGCCATGCAAAGGTGCTCCGCAGCTTGGGAGGTCTGGGGGAGGACCGAAAGAACAGTACCTTTGGCGTACGCAATAATAGTGTCGCCCTCCCCCAAGAAAACCCAGGAGTAGGCCGCTCTGGACAACTCCCTGACGGTATGCCGATAGGCCGAGCCGTCCATGACGACGTCGCAACCCGAGAGGTCCACCGAGCCCCAATCAATAATACCCCCTTCAGGAGAGTACAGGATGGGTTGAGTGGCCGAGGACGGAGGAGGGTAGGAGGCTTCAGGGTGCTCCCACTTTAACTCATCGAAGAACAAACGGTCCTGACTTTCAAGAGCTTCGTCCAGCCATTCAACAGGAGAGTCATCACTAACACTTTTACTGGCGGCGACGGTGTCAGGGTGAACGCACTGCCAAACGCGGTGCCGCACGCTGTCGGGCATCCCGCACTTCGGGCAAAGTCCGTCGCACGAGTATCCAGCGGCCGGAGCCCTCGCTCTGGTCCAAATCCCCTTGCAAAACACACTCGACGCCAAATACTTCTGCTGAAGGTTGAGTTTCCTTCCCTTGGGGCTCAGCAAGGTTTCCAGGGGATCGACACAAAACCGAGAACGGTCGGCTCCAGGGGTGTCCTGACATAAAACCCGTTCATGTTTTCGTTGGACCGCCAACTGCAACATGTGCGCTAACATAGCGGGCGAGGTGTATCCCAAGTGCACCTCTCGACCGTGGTCGTCCTCAAAAGTAAGGGGGGTCACCGACTTCCACCCGATCCTAGCCAACGACAGGTGCATGCGCTGCAGACGTCCTCGTGACGAGCGCCACGTGACCTTGTCATCAAAGGGAACAGAACGCCACAAATGAGCAATCTCCTTGATAGTATACCTAGAGACCGACGAGGTGGTGAGAGCCAGCCACACGATCGACGCCCACTGCAGGGCTGGCGCCACAGCCGGCCTCCACATCGGGTCTCCAAGGATCACCAGACGCGCCTGGAGGGAGCACCCTCGGTGCCTAGGGGGGTGCGACGACAACAGCACACGTTGAGCCACCTAGAGCTCGCCCTGACTCATCCCCACAACCGACGAGCCGAAACTGGCCGCGGGCAACACTCCGCAAGTATAGATCTTTCCCATGCGAGATTTTTTGCGGGGAAGGGCCGAGCGATATCGCATCAAAACCTCATGCCTCTTCTTCATGTGGGAAAACCTCTGTTTTCTTGTCCACAGACCATGTTTAGCACCTCGGGTCTGACCTGGTGCGAAATCCGTGCCGAGGGAGACCACGCTGTTCGTGACCTTGCCCGCCAGCTGCCCGAGGTGCCTAGCAATATTCTGGGCGAGGCTGCGGCTGCTGGCAAAGGTGCTGACCTTGTCGTGCTGAATGCCGACGCGCAGCTCATCCCTAAACAGGACGTACAGGCAAGGAGCCGCCTGAGTGATAGTGGCCAGGACCTCTTGCTCAGAGCCCGACGCTGTGACGCTATCATCATCGACATGCGACGACAAATCGACGCTGGGATTGTCTTCAACAAACTTGTCAAAGGCTTCGATGCTGTACACTCGAACCATGATATCAGTGAAGATATCTCCCGCGGGAAGACCAGACCTGGCGAAATAAGGCTGGGCCCCGTAGTGGGCCCCCAAACGAAGCAAACGGGGGCCCCTCCAATCATTAAACGTCGTTTTGACAATGACCTCGTTAATACCGCAACGTAACGCTCTATCCTGGAGAAGGGCTAAATCAAATGACTCGTAGTACTTCGTCCCATCCCATATTATACCCCCCGTTTCCTGAGACTCGAAGTGGGCCATCTCGGCCTGGACGGCCTGGTGCCACACGGCACTCTCAGCACTGCGGCCAGGGCCAAACGCCCAGTAGCTGCGAGGGTAGTTCGCGTCGAAATCCGCAATCAGAGGTCTCCGTAAACGTTCCCAGACACGGACGGGGCCGGCGCACAGCAAGATGGGTCGAAGGCCTCCCTAGGGTTTTTCCAAAAGAGGGAACAGCAGCCAGAACAGTTGTT